GAACAGACTAGAACAGACTAGAACAGACTTGAACAGACTAGAACAGACTTATAAAATGTATCGAGAACTCTATCTATCTTAGATAGATTCTTTTTAGATTTTTTCGCAATTTTTTCGCTATAAACGAGAATCTTATTCGATCGAATTTTGATCATTTTAACATCACAATTTAATAATTCTTCAATTTCTTCTTTTGAATTACACTGGTTTACAAAAAATATTTTTGTTAATTACTTTGAACCAAACAAGGTGCTTCTTATGGATTTTTGAATGCTAAAAACGATGCCACAAGTCAAATTTTTCTAGCACGTCATATTTCCAAAATAATTGAGATTTAATATACAAAACAATAAACCACTTGGCTTCATTTTTAGTGGCATCATTTTTAGTATTCGAAAATTTATAAGAAATATCTTGTCTGGTACAAAGTATTTAATTTAATTTTTTGCTGTAAACTAATGATTTAAATAGTATAAGTAAAAAATAAATTAAAACAGTTAAATGATTAAATACCTAATAAAAGCTTAATAATAAACATTTAATTAATTAAAATCGAATTTTGATAGAGTATAACAATTATTATTTTAGAATCATTAAAAAAATTCAACGTTTAAGATTTTGATATCATGATGCTAATCAGAGTCTTATTTCTCCTCATTGTATTTTTCAAATACAAATTATTCACTGTCTCGCGACATATTTCATACGTCTCCGATGCCCCAATTCGATGACGATGACCGTCTTTTCTCTCCCTTTGTGACTCATAAAGATCAAATCGATTTCTCCTACTTGTGAGGGCTTCTGCGCGCGGTAGAGGGGTTCGACAACGAGATCCAACAAGTTTATCAGTTGGCGTGCGGTTGCTGTGCAACGTTGTGGATCATGTTGCATCTTGTATCTCGAGTGCAATCGTGCTTCGTGAAATCGCGTGGCGGGAAATAATATGTGCTCCATTCGGAAGACAACGAAGCGCCTTATCGTCGCATATTGAAACTAGGGGCGGTTACAGTACTAGAAACTATTTTTGACGCTGTTTCTCTCTCTCTCTCTCTCTCTCTCTCTCTTCCTCTCTCCTCCTCCTC